TGTAACTATTTTATTTCTAAGATTCACTCAGGAAATTTGTTTCCAAGTTCCTCATGCAGATGCAGATATGGCCAGGTCAGTGTTGGCACAACTTGTCTGACACCCCTGCCCTCTGCTCTGGTGTCCAACTAATGGCCACTGAGTGATTGTCACACAGGGCGACATCTGGGGTATAGAAGGGAGATTTTTTCCTCCATGTTTGAGTTGTGTTTCCATTAGAGTCCAGAGGTCCTCCTCAGGAAGGGAGGACCTTTGTCACCTTCATCACTTGCATCACCTGCAACTGCCTCTTGGATGCTGCTGATAGTGCTGAGTGGGGGTGGGGGGGACATGCCTGTTTTTCCATCGCCTGTTACTGATCTTCAGGGTGTTGGACCCAGAGGGATGATAATTTGAGGACCTTGATGCCTCAGCTTTTGAGAGTTTGGACCTGAGACCGTGCTTGAAATTTGATAAACCTGAACAATAGGAATGACATTTGCTCCTAAAGGTCATTACAGTGATTGATGGTAAAATAATAAATCTCAGAGGTCCTTAAAAGTGATTGTTTGGATAGTTTCTTGAACATTAAATCCTGGGAACCTAGAGTGTGTTTTGCACAGCCCTGCTTGTGTATCTCTCATTACCTATTTCTCCGGGGCTCCGGTGCCTGTGCTCCAGTGAGCAGCAGAAGGACTGGGGTCTGTTTTCTAAAAGAGTGCTTTAAAATGTATGTATGAGGCTGTGTCCTCTGGTACATTCAATTTTGTGATATGTAAATACCGATTCATTTGGTTTCCACTTCTCACTGGTGGTCCTTCTGTGGATGTGGCTGTTAGGTCTTGTGCAGGTGACCACCGTGCCAGCTGCCCCTCTTCAGAGCTGGTGGCTTCACTCTGGAGCACCCAGGTGTGTCCCAGCTGCCCTGCTTGAGGCCATGTGGGCTGCATTTTGTGAGAGGTGGGAGTGTCTGGGTGGCTTTGGGCCCCATTCCCCAATCCTCCTCAGAGTCAGAGCTGTGAGCTGGCTTTGTGGTTGGCCTTGTCATCAGTGTTCAAGGGCCAGGAGAGAGATGTAACTTTGCTCTGCACTCCCAGGGCTCCTCTCAGCCCTGAATTTGTGCAGTGTCTGGCAGTTTGGGGACAATTCATTTGGCTAGAATGGCTTTGTACAACGTGGCTGAGATACAGTGGTCAGAATGTGGAATGGCCAAGCAGAGACCTGAGACACCCTGAAGGAAGAAGGTTCCTGCAGATCAGAGGGCCAGGCTCCCTGCCCTGTGGCATGTGCCCTCCCTCTACCCAGCAACGTATTAAAGCCCAGCACTCTTCCAGATACCCCATGCTCACTCACTGCCTTGCTGCATATGGGGAAGCCATGAGCACAGCTGTCACACATGTGTTTTCCTGATAGCACAACATGGGCTTGTGCTGGGTCGTCCATCTGTGGGGTAACAAGGCAGGAGCCTTGCTTTGTCAGCTGCTTACCAGGAGGGGAGTCTTTCTAGTTGTGGGCTGGGGCTCCACTGGGGGCTGCCTTCGCTTCTCCTGTGACCCCTCAGTGCGTAGCCCTCCCTACAGACCTCAGGAGACCAGAGTTGGCTTGGCTCTGTCTGGCCTTTGCTGCCACTCAATGCCAACCCCACAGCCAACTGGCCTTCGTGGACTCACTCAGTGCAGACTACAGCCCAAATTTGCCTGGAGTGTGAACTAACTCCTATGTGTGCCTTGTACCCTGGATCTGAAGAACTTGGTACAAAGAGAACACAGAGCAGCTTAGGTCTCTTTCCCACTGGTCCCTGGTGAAATGGTCATGTTTTAGATGTACTGGGTTCAATGAAATACATGATTAACATGGATTTCAGTTTCATTGTGCATTTGGAAGAGGCCAACTGGCAAATGGAAACACAGGCACGTGGCTCCAATGCCCATTCCTGGCACCTCAGCCCCTGGTATGGCCAGGACTGTGGCTTGGCTCCTGCCAGGCCTTCGGGCAAATGTCATGTCCTTATCACCAGACCTACACATCACTTGTCCCTGTGGTGACTCTCAGGTCAGACCCAGCTCTCAGGGCAGGATGTCACCTGAGCCTAGGACTGGATTTTTGACCTAAAAGCATATTCACAGAATTGTTTTCCCTCCTTTTATAATTAAAAAAAATAATTATTGTTTTTTCTATTGTGGCAAAATACTCATTAATGCAAGTTGTCATCCTAACAACTTGTAAGTAGGGAGCTGGTTCAGGGGTGTCAGACACACACAATATGTGCTTTCACCTCCCCGCCACCAGGACTTCTCCATCTTTCCAGATTGAAGTGTATCTCCCTCAAACTCTGACTCCCTGGCCCCTCCCTGGCCCCTCCTTGACCCCCACACCCAGTGCCCTCCTTCCATCTCTGTGACTGATGACTATGGGACCTCACGTGAGTGGGATCACATGGTATTATTTCACTCAGCACAACGTCAGGGTTCTCTGTGTTGCAACAGGTATCAGAGTTCCCTTTTTTTAAGACTCAGTCTTCCCCTTGTGGGCTTAACCATGTCTTGTTGTCCATTCATCAGGCAGTGGGCACTTAGGTGTTCCCATCTGTGGATGAGGCTGTTGTGAACACAGGTGTGCAAACATCTGTCCAAGCACCTGCTTTCATTTCCTGCGGGTCTGCACCCAGAGCTGGAGCTGCTGGATCGTATGGTAATTCTTTTTTAAAAGCTTTTTGACTGTTTTCTGGAGAAGCTGCACCATTTTACATTCCCACCAGCAGTATGAGGATGGCAGCTTCACTGTGTCTGCAACAACACGTGTGTTCTGTTTTTCTTGATAGTAGCTCTCATGAAGGTTGTGACTCAGTATCTCACTGTGGTTTCAGTTTGCACTTCTCTGATAAGTGGTGGTGAGCATCTTTGCATGTGCTTGTTGGCCTTCTCTGGAGAAAAACCTATTTACATCTTTGCACATTTTTAAATCAAGAATTTTTTTTTTTTTTTTTTGAGACAGAGCCTCAAGCTGTCCCCCTGGGTAGAGTGCCATGGCATTACAGCTCACAGCAACCTCCAACTCCTGGGCTCAAGCGAGTCTCCTGCCTCCGCCTCCCAAGTAGCTGGGACCACAGGCGCCCGCCACAACGCCTGGCTATTTTTTTTTTTTGGTTGCAGCCGTCATTGTTGTTTGGCGGGTCCGGGCTGGGGATTCGAACCCGCCACCTTAGGTGTACGTGGCTGGCGCCTTAGCCGGTTGAGCTATAGGCGCCGAGCCAATCAAGAATTTTTGTTGTTGAGCAGTAGGAGCTCTCAGTATATATTTTGGATGTCATTTTTAAGCAGATTTGCAAATATTTTCTCTCATTCTGTGTTGCTTTTCACATTGTTGATTTTTAATCAGAAGGTTTAAATTTTGATGAGGTCCAGTTTATTTGTTATTTCTTTTGTTACCTGTGCTTTTGGTGTTAGAGCTGAGAAATCATAGACAGGTCCAAGGTCATGAAGTTCTTCCTCATGCTTTCTAGTAAAGGTTTTATGGTTTTAGGTCTTATGTTTATTTCTTTGATCCATTTTAGGTTAAATTTTGTATATTGTATAAGGTAAGTATTTCCAAGTTTATTCTTTTTCTCAAAAACTATTTAATGAGGATTTTCTGTTATTCATTTACTAATGACTCTTTCAGAGAACCTAAAATACTACATAGAAAGGTCACCCGCAGATTCCCTCAGACTGGTTTTCCTAAGCCCCTTGAGCCTGCACCTGGTGTCCTGTGTCCATGGCCCATCTGTGCACAGCTATGCCCACATAGGCCACCTCCCTCAGTGTAGCTGGGGTTTCCTCATGAAGCACAGGTGCTGATGTCCAGCTGTGCTGGAGGCGGTGACACCTAATCTGGTATGACCTCAGGCAGTTGTCAAATGGGAGCAGGAGTCTGGAGACCATGCAGCCTCCTAGACGTCCCTCTCACAGCCTCACCCACCCTCACCTGCCCTACAGCCCATACTGGGCCTGCTCGGGGGCCACCCTGGACCCCTATGGAGGAAGAACTCAGGCTGGTACCCCACGTAGGCCCCTGACACAGTTTCTCCTGTTTGCTAATTAGTGTGATTCTTTTCAAATTTGGTTTCTGTGGAACGCATCATCAAGCACAGGTGCTGTGCCTGCAGCCACATAGGTGATGATGGTCTGTGTGGGTTTGGCAGGGGGCAGCCACATCACAAGCCGAGATTGACTCATATTTTGTCATGACAGCCCTGGAGGCTGGGACTGTGGCTCCTCGCTACCACAGGGACACCTAGACAGCCCAATGTTTCTGGGGGGCTGATTCTAACACTGGACTCAGATCCCCAAGTCTGTGGTGTGGTCCTTGTGCTACCCTGCTTCTCAGAGATATCAAGATGAATTTTAAGGATTTTAGCATTTTTTTTTCCTTTAAGAGGCAGGCAGGGTCTTGCTTTGCTGTCCAGGCTGCAGTACGGTGGTGTGGGCACAGCTCAGCACAGCCTCAGATGCCTGGGCTCAAGCGAGCCCCCGACCTCCGCCCTGAGCAGCAGGACTGCAGGTCCATACCCCTGGCCACTGCACCTGGCTGGACTGCATCACCTTTTATGTCGACTTAATGTTGGGACAGGCTCCCTCAGAAGCACCTGACCAACCACAGTCTCCTCGCCTGACCTTGGTCTCAGACTCCCAGTGTCTCTTTACCTGCGCACCACACCTGACCTGCACACCTGACCCACACACCTATGCACCTAACCGGCACACCATACCTCATCTGCACACCCGCACACATGACTTGCATACTTGCACATTGCACACCTATGCACGTGACCTGCACACATGTACACCCGCATATCTATGTGTCTCATCTTTATACCACACTTTACCTGCACACCCGACTTGCACACTTGCACAACGCACACCTATGTACCTGACCTACACTCCTGTAAATTTGCATACCACATGTCACTCGCACACCTATGTACTTCACCTGCACACCTGATCTGCACACCTAGCTGAGGGTGCTCTTTTCCTCTGTCCTAGATTTTGACCCTCACCACTTCTGGCACTGGAGCAGCTTCGCAGACTACGTGCAGTGTGTCCTGGCCTTCACGGGTGTAGCGGGCTACGTCACATACCTGTCCATTGACTCAGCTCTGTTTGTGGAGACCCTGGGCTTTCTGGCTGTGCTGACTGAGGCCATGCTGGGTGTGCCGCAGCTTTACCGCAACCACTGCCACCGGTCCACAGAGGGCATGAGGTAGGAGCACTGTGTATGTGCCCATATGTTTAATAAACATCTGATTCCTTGTGTTTCTTATGATTCGTGTAGCTGCCAGGCAAAGAGCTAGACTTAAGCACATTGGCCCTGGCCATGTGAGGGCCAAGGGGCAGCTGAGACCCTGTTGTAAGTATATCAGTGACTCAGGATTGGCCAGCTGGGTTGGCCAGAGGTGCCTGCAGGGCCACAGAGACAGAGGCCAGCCTGAGTAGGAGGCTGCTGGAGGGGGAGGGAGCAAGATGGAAGGCCATTAGGCCAGGTGGGGCACAGAGGAGGTGTGGCCCCCGATGGGGAGGGCGCAGGGCAGGAAGGCTGTTCAGAGCTGCCCTGGCCATGATTCTCTTACCGTCCCCCACAGGCCTGGTCGGCCTCCACCCTGAAGGTGCAGTGGCCACAGGTGAGGCTGGAGTTTGGAACTGCAGACTGCAGCATGCTCCCATCCTGCACAGCCTAGATGCCTGCAGGGTGGCAGCTGGTATTAAGGATGAACAGACACTTCCCACGGGCTCACTCCAGAGCCTCAGTGGGACATGTACCACACACACCCCTTTACTGTGCACCTTCCAAGGGATTTTGGCATATCTGGAGTCAGGCATCCATTGCTGTGCCTAATTTTAGAACGTTTTCCTGCCCTGGAAAGAGGCCTTTCTTCGGTTGTTGTCGCTCCACATGCCGCCCCAGTATCTCTGACCCACTTTCTGTCTGTGGCTCTGCCTTTTCTGGATATTTCATGTATGTGGGACCAGACTATATGTAGCCTTTGTGACACTTCTCTCTTAGGACATGGTGCATGGTGAGGCGTGGTGCATGGCAGGGAGTGGTGTGTCTTGTGGCCTGATCAGGGCTTTATTCCTTCCATGGCTGAGGAATATTCCATTATACAGACTCACCAGATCATGCTTCTTGTTCTTTAGCTGATGGACATTGAGGTCATTTAGTCACTTATAGGGTAGAAGGAATTATACATTCATGTATGGTTGTCTGTTTTCCTTTCCTTTGTGTATTTATCTACATGTGGAATTCCTGGATAAGGTGGTAACTAATGTTTCAGGAGTTCCCAGAATGTTTTCCACAGAGGGAAGGGCATGCAGGTGAGGGCTGTGAAGGAGGAGGGGGCAGGTGAGGTTGGGGTACGGTGGGAGCATGGGCTCTGGGCTGAGAAAATGATGCCTGGGCCCTGGGAAGCAATAGTTCCCCCCCCCCCAACACACACACAAGGTTCTTTGCACCCTCACGGTGGGCTTCTGAGTTGTGGGCTCTCTTGATGGGAACTCTGGACTCGATGAGTTTCCTCCATTCAAGGAGGGAAGGATGTCTTTCTGCCTGGGACTTACCCCATGGTGGTAGAAAACCACTGGTTCATTGAACTGTGATGCAGATCTTTGGGGGCTTGGCCTTTGTTCATTTGGGATGGTGCTAGGGTAAAGGAGGTGGGGGTGGGGAGGAACTGTCTGGGTATTGTGCCTGAGGGGACAGCACAGTGGAAACAGGGAGAGCAGGGAGCTGAGCTCTGAGGGTAGTACCATAGGGACACACACAAGGGGAGATTGGCTCTGTGGCAAGGTTGGACATCATGGTGCCTCCAAGGTACACAAGGGGGCGAGGTTATCTCCTGAAGAGTAGAGATCACTGGGGGCATTTTCTCCCTCTGTGCCTGGGGCTGCACAACTGACTTTTGCATTTGACCTTCTGCTGACCCTGCTCCCTCATCCCCACCCTCTAAGTTATGGAGTTGGTAGTGGGGCTGCAGCAAGGCCATGTGAGATTCCTGTGCAACAGTGGGAGCTATTGACACCTATCCAGTTAAAGGTCAAAGATGAAGTGTGGTGCCTGAGCAATGTTCCTGAGCACAGAGCCCAGCAGCAACCCTGGGTCTGTGTTGTGGTGGCAGACAGCAAGCCTGTGTGTCGGGGGCCTGGGGATGCAGACAGAGATGAGGGCAGGTGATCATAGCTTCACCTGCATGTCCTGCTGGCTGTGTCTACCCAGGGCTGCATCTTGGCCTCTGCCTTCTTTTTCTGTTGGTGTATGCAGGTGTGATCTCCACGAGGTGGGGTTCTGATGGGCTGACCATCTTATCCCACCTGCCTCCAGCTGGACTGGTTCCCTGCAGTTCTGTGTTGGCAGTCTTGGCCCGAAAGGGGCCAGAAGGAGACAGGAAGGCTGACTAGCCCTCCCAGACAGCTCTGGCCTTACCTGTGGTTGGAACCTCCCTTCTCACAACTCACCACTTCTGAGGCTATTGTGCTCAATCCAGAGAGGCCTGGACACCTCCCCAACCTCATGGAGCACCCTGGGCATTCTGAGCTGCAAACCATTTGGCTTTCCCTAATTTAAAATAGGAAATAAGCAGTGTCTTGTGATACAAAATCAATACCTACAAATCAGTAGCTTTCGTATGCCAACAATAGTTAAGCTGAGAATATAATCAAAAACTCTCTTCCTTTTACAGTAGTTCCCAAGAAGAGGAAAATACCTGGGAATATATCTAACAAAGGATGTAAAAGATCTCTTTGTTAGAGAACTATGAAACCCTGAGAAAGGGAATAGCAGAAAATGTCAACAAATGGAAGAGCATACCATGCTCATGGCTGGGAATAATTAACATTGTTAAAATGTCCATACTACCCAAAGCAATCTACAGATTTAATGCAATCTTTATCAGAGCACCAATGTCATACTTTAAAGAACTTGAAAAAATAGTACTTTGTTTCATATGGAATCAGAACAAAAACTAATAACCAATACAATTCTTAAAAATAAAAATAAATCTGGAGATATTTTACCAGACTTCAGGTTATACTACAAATCTATAGTAATCAAAATAGCATGGTACTGGCACAAAAATAGGGACATAGATTTGTGGAATAGGATTGAGAAACTTGAGGTGAACCCAACCAGTTCTCGGAGAACTGGTTAGCTACTTGTAGAAGACTGAAACTAGACTCACACCTGTCACTGTTGACAAAAATTAATTCTTGTTGGATAAATGATTTAAATTTAAGATACAAAACTCTCTCTCTAGAAGAGAGTTGAGGGAAAATGCTTGAAAATATTGGCCTGGGAAAATATTTTATGCAGAAGACTCCCTAGCAATTGCAGCAACACCAAAAATAAATACATAGAATTTGATCCAGCTAAAAATCTTCTGCACAGCTAAGGGTACTACAACCAATGCAAATAGACAACCTACAGAATAGGAGAAGATTTTTGCATGTTATGAATCTGACAAAGGTCTGATAACTAGAATCTACAGAGAACTCAAATTAATCAATAAAAAAAGAGCAAACAACCCCATTTCTATGTGGGCAAGAGACTTGAACAGAAACTTTTCTGAAGATGACAGATGAATGGCCAACAAATAAATGAAAGAATGCTCATTGTCTTTAATCATCAGAGAAAAGCAAATCAAAAACACTTTGAGATATCACCCAACTCCAGTAAGATTAGCCCATATCACAAACTCCCAGAACTGCAGATGCTGGTGTGGATGTGAAGAGAAGGGAACGCTTCTGCACTGCTGGTGGAATTGCAAACTAATACAACCTTTATGGAAAGAAATATGGAGATGGCTGGGTGATGGCTCATGCCTGTAATCCCAGCACTTTGAGAGGCTGAAGGAGGCAGATTGCTTGAGCTTAGGAGTTCGAGACCAGCCTGACCAAGAGCGAGACCCCATCTCTAAAAAATAGCCAGGCCTTGTGGCAAGTGCCTATAGTCTCATCTACTTAGGAGGCTGAGGCAAGAGTTTGAGGTTGCTGTGAGCTATGACACCGACACCATGGCATTCTACCAAGAACAACAAAGTGAGACTCAAAAAAAAAATGCTGTTGTAGAATTCTCAAAAAACTAAAAGTTGACCTTCCATTTGATCCTGTAATCCCATTACTAGATATCTACCCAGAAGAACAAAAATAATTTTATCACAAGACATTTGCACCAGAATGTTTATTACAGCCCAATTCATAATTGCCAAGTTGTGAAAGCAACCCAAATGCCCATAAACTCATGAATCAATTACAAGCTATGGCGTATGTTTACCGTGGAATACTATTAGGCCATAAAAAGATGAAGATGTTACATCTTTTATGTTTACCAGGATGGAGTTGGAATACATTCTTTTTAGTAATGTAACTCAAGAATAGGAAAAAAAAAGTGTCCAATGTACTCAATATATTAATATGAAACCAATATATAATCACATATTTATATGAATGATAAAACACAAATATAGTCTAGCAAGGGGGAGGGGTGAGGAGGGGGAGGGGAGGGTGATTGGTAGGAGGATGGAGGGCATTTGGTGGGATCTCACCTAAAGGGCATATTGCGAGGATATTTAGCACACAGCCCCAGGGTGAGGGGCTCTCCTACAACTTGAACTTCACCTGAGAAGTGAGAACAATGTAACCTAAAAATTTGTTCCCTCATATTAATTTGAAATTTTTTTTAAAAAAGGGAGCTAGTGACCTTCTTTACTGGATTTGCAGCACTTGGTTTGACAGTGTTTCATTGAAGCATTTGAAAGATGTTTGCTGTTCATTGGTGTGGCTCCTGTGAGAAGGGACATTGTTTGTGGGAATAGCTGAGTCCATGTCTGCTGACATCACTGAGGGTGTGTGGCCCCTGCATACCCCCAGACACGCCCGGTATGTGGGGAACTGCAGCAAGATAGACAACTGGATGAGGCACAGAGCCACCCTCCTCTTTTTTTTTTTTTTTTTAGAGAAAGAGTTTCACTTTGTCACTTTTGGTAGAGTGCCATAGTGTCACACACAGCTCACAGCAACCTCCAGCTCTTGGGCTTAGGCGATTCTCTTGCCTCAGCCTCCTAAGTAGCTGGGACCACAGGCGCCCGCCACAACACCCAGCTATTTTTTGTTGCAGTTTGGCTGGGGCCAGGTTTGAACCCACCACCCTCAGTATATGGGGCCAGTGCCCTACTCACTGAGCCACAGGTGCCGCCCCCTCCTCTGTTTTATAGACACCTGGACAGAGCATGAAGCCATGCTTCTCTGTTTTATAGACACCTGGACAGGGCATGAAGCCACACTTATCTGTTTTATAGACATCTGGACAGGGCATGAAACCATGCTTCGCTGTTTTATAGACACCTGGACAGGGCATGAAGCCACACTTCTCTGTTTTATAGACACCCAGAAGGGGCACGAAGCCACACTTCTCTGCTTTATACTTGCCCTTGGTCGCTTTACAGAATTTACCTGTGCCTTATATGGGTTATTTTCATGATATGGTTTTCCAGTAAGGTTTTAGAATAAGAAGATGTTGAAATTAAGTTATACCTTAAAGGTGCCTTAAATTATAGCTTAGTTCCTATGTCATGAGAAGAAAAAGCTCTGAAATTTGACAGAGAACAAGCAGGGAAGTCTTGGTTCTCCTGTGCTTCATGCTCCTGCCCGGTGAGCCCAGTTTCAGGGAAAAATTGTGAGCTAGAGAACACACAAGAACCAGGAAGAAGAGCAGGATGTGACCTAACATTTACAGTTTCTGAATGTCAGCCTTTCCTTGGAATTGGAGCCTCCGGTAATATGTAGCAACCCGGGTTCCTGCCCACAAAGTGCAGATCATGGTAGGGCACATTTCTAAGTGGAATTGGGTGGGATTTATGGGGCAACAGGAGGAGATGGCTGGCAGTAGGACTTCTAGTCAAAGTCTTCACCTCACCCTATACTCCTAGATTTGTGAATGGCTGAGGTTGTGAACATAGCTTCTCTGTTCCTGTTCAACACTAGAATTTGTAAAAAAAAAAAAAAAGATGACTCTTTGTTCTTTTGTCCTTGGGCTCTGCAAGGAAGAAGGGAGCAGAGCTGAGGGCCCAGCCCAGGGGCACAGGAGGCTTGGACTCTGAGGTGAGGGGACCCTGAGGCAAGGGGACAGGAAGGTTGGGACTGGAGGTGAGGAGACAGGAAGGTTGGAACCCTGAGGTGAGGGGATGGGAAGACTGGGACCCTGAGGCAAAGGGACAGGAAGATGGGGACCTTGAGGTGAGGAGATGGGAAGGCTGAGGTGAAGGGATAGAAAGGCTGGGACCCTGAGGTGAGGGGACAGAAAGCCAGGACCCTGTGGTGAGGGACAGGGAAGGCTTGTTTCCCCCTTTTGTTTCTCTTTATACCTCTGAATTTTCATTTTGCTGCACAGGACTGAATTCAGTTGCAGAAAAAGGGATGAACTGGACACTGGGCAGCCTGTGGTCAGTGCAGGATGCATGCCTCGTTGGAAGTTCTTAGTAGTTGCCCCCTTTCTCTTGTCAGCCACACCTATTACTGTCAACAGTTCTGTTTGTAGGACTAGTCAGGGAACACTAACAAATGTCCTGTTAGGGGAGAGAATGCAGATCCCCACTCCTAATCTACCTTTTTCTGGGATGTATAAGGTGGAGTAAGCACGTCACCCTTACCCCCAAGAAAAACCTGGACAGAACGCATGGAGCAGGTCTGTGGTGCTTTAGAAAGTCAACACTACCAGGGTAGTTTGGAGAGGAATCCAGAACTTGAACGTGACTTATCTGAGGGTGAATTGCCTGCTTTGGTCATTTTTTCCCATATCTGCCAGCCTGTGTTCCAGGACTGTGCACTGGCCAGGAGGAGCTGTAGGGGGCCTCTATCTGGACAAGGGGGGCTTCAGGACTGAGAGGGAGGGACCTGCCCTGTGTGTGTTGCTGATGTTTTCATCTTGCCCTTCCTCCGCAGCCTCCAGGCAAGCCTTCGTCCTGCAGTCTGTCTCTTTAGGTGGCTGGCATTGGCAGGAGAGGCTGGGCAGGCCCCCAAACTCTGCAGAGGTCATTCCTCCTCTCCAAGCACAGGACAGTCTAGAGTGTATAGGGAACCTTTTCCCTCTGTCCCTGTGCTGTTTGGCCCTGGAGGCAGATCTAGCTGAGGGACCTGCACAGCAGAGCATTGAGGCCAACCCCCCAGCTTTAACCTGAGTAGGGGAGGCCCCTTAGGCTATAAAGTTTGGAGAGAGTAAAGAAAGCAACATCTTGAGAAAAAGACCCTTGCACATGGGGCCTCCCGCCCACCCTGATTTGTCAGTGACTAGGCTGAGTGGGCAGTGGCCATGTTCCTAGTGTCCTCTTCTGCTGCCAGGCAGCCCCTTAGGCTCTGCAGCAGTTGCTTCATTAGCAGCTGTGAAAGGTTCCGCCAATGGAAATGGGTCCTCTCCAGATGCGCATCCTGCAGGGAGAGTGTGGTGCTCCTCTTGGCAGGGCACCAAACTCAGCAGGCACAGAGGGCAGGGGTTGGTGGTTATCCCTCCTTCACTCAGCGAGCTTTCTGTGCTATGGGACTGATGGAGAGACTGCAGGGGAAGTTTGCACCGGTGACCAGCAGTGGAGACCCAGGGGGTTCCTGGGTCTTGAAGGTGCCTGGGGCAACAGCTCCAGTCTGCTGAGTGCCTGGATTTGCACCTGGTCCCACAGCCTCTGGTTTGTGTCCTCAGCCCTGAGCGAGGCCTGCAGGAACTCTGGGGGAGCCCCACCCTCCTGAGCCAGTTCTACCGGCAACACAGTGGATAACACCCTGCCTAGTTCTTGGGCCTCACACCTACACGCTGGAGGCTAGAGCTTCCAGGACCCCTGGCCAGGGGCGCACTGTCTCTCTCCCTCTGAAGCCACAGAGAGGTCTTGGGTAGGACAAGTTTGGGTCAGGGTGTGGCCCCTGACCCCTAGAATGTCCCCTAGGCCCCTGGGATGTCCCACTGACCTCCTGGCTTGTGTCTCCTCAGCATAAAGATGGTGCTCATGTGGACCAGCGGAGACGCCTTCAAGACAGCCTACTTCCTGCTAAATGGCGCACCCCTGCAGTTCTCAGTCTGTGGCCTGCTGCAGGTGCTGGTGGACCTGGCCATCCTGGGGCAAGCCTACGCCTTCACTCGCCACCCCCAGAAGCTGGTGCCCCATGCTACGCACCCCACCAGTGCCAAGGCCCTCTGAGGGGCCAGCCACAGACACTGGCCAGACCCCTCTTCCCTGAGAGGGGGGACAGTGTTCAGGTGTCAGATTCTGGAACAGGCTGGTGGGGGCAGGGCTGGGTCAACATTTGTGCTCCTTACTGCCAGGGCAGCCAGAGCAGGTTTAACACCCCAGGGCCAGGTTTCAGTTGTCTATAAGGTGATGGAAAAGCAAGTGTCTTTTCCCACTTCCTCTCAAAAACTCCTGCCTTGAATGCGAAATTTGTTGATGAGCACACGTGAAAGAAGGCAGCAGCCCTGCTCCCATCTCAGGCCCATCTCCTGGGTCTGCTTCAGCCCACAGGATGTTCTACCTGGTGGGGCTGAGAGGCCTGCACCCCTAGGTAAGCAGACCCACCTGCCAACATTCCAGGGAAGCACAAAGGGATCCCAGGGCTGAGGACCCCGCAAATCCTGTGAGCAGAGCCTTGGGACTCACTGTGACTCTCAAAAGATGCTGTGGTTGAACAGCGGCAACAGAGGGACAGGGCTGGGGTCTTCTCTGCTCCTGGTACATGTGGAAAGGGGGCTGTGAGGACACAGCGCCAGTGCTCTCTAGGGCCTCACAGGGGCTGACCTCTTGGTCCAGCAGGGCCCAGAAACCATGCTGCTATTACGGCCTCTTCCCAGGAGGTGCTGACACAGACACCCCCAGGTGAGCAGGCGGGCCCATGTCTCAGCCTGGCTGGGCATTGGCCAACAATCTCAGAGGGATGAGAGCTGTGTTCTTTTTCTCCTCAGGTCCTAGGGGTGGCCCTCGGAACTCCACTGGGGAGATTCCCTTGAGTCTGGGCATTGTATATGCACCAGCTGGACACAGCTTTAATATTCATCTTCCAGAACAGAGAGGCCACTTTGGGTCAGGAGAGGGGATGCCAGGCCAGTGCTCCTGACATGCAGGGTCCTACCTCTGTGACCTCCTACATAGGGGCAGCCCGACATGTCCTCTGTTCTCAATCCCTGGCATGTCGGCCCGTGGAGTTCTGGGTCTGCAGTGGAGCTGCCTATCTGCCCTTGGCACCCCATACCTGCCTACCCTGTTCCAGTTTAACATGAGGTCACGCTGTGCTGAGCAGTACTGCACTGGCTTCAGCTGGCCCCCAGGCCTCAGAGTTCTAGATGCTTCTTTGCAACTCCCATGGCACAGGCTCCTTCTGCTGGCGGAGGGGCTGCTTTCCAGGCGGGTGTCCATGCTGTCGGCACCAGACAGTGAGTGTTAATTTGCTGTGCCAGTGGGAAAAGGCCCAAAGCTATTTCCTCTCCCTGGGTGTTCCTCAGAAATACTCTTGAATGTTTGAGTGAGGCTCTTGCTCAGCTCTTTGGCCTATAAGATGCTTTCAAAATTTTTATTTTTTTAAAACAAAGGGCGATGTCTGTTAGTGTTAATTGCCTCCAAATTAAAATGCCACTGATTGCAGGCATAATGACTAGGTGAATGTCCCGTGTGTGCCTCCTTGGAATCAATAAACCTTTTGTGGATCCAGCGTGGTGTGAGTGGGGTCAGACTGGGGTCCGAGGCAGAGTGAAGAACCACGTCCAGGAGGGGGCTATGTGGCCCTGGCTATACCCCAGGCCCACCCACAGCTCAGTCCCTAGGGTGGCTCCGAGTTTCCACCCACAGCAGGTGGGGCTGCCACCCACCACTGGTACCCTGGCCCTTGTAGGTTCACAATCCCACCTTCCTGCTTCTCTCTGACCATGGGATACTTTATGGGAAGGGTCTCATTAAAGGGCAAGAGCCATGTTTCCATATTTGCCATCACCAGGTCAGGCAGGTCTGTGCAGTGCTGGGAAGGAGCCATGAAAGAGTGAGCCCAACCCAAAAGTGCCTGGAGATCACTTTTCCCCAAACCCGAAATCTGTATTTCTAGTTCTTCCTCTCTGTGAGGCCAGTAGTTTGGAAGTGAGAAGGTAGTGACCTGGCCTCACCCTGGGCACACCTGGAGCAGATCAGAACCTCCACATAAGGCGTCCTCAAACTATGGCCCGTGAGCCACATGCGGCCCACCGGGTGTTTTTGCTGCTGTTGCCTCCTGCTTAGCAGCCGACTCGTCCTGGGGCCCACAGTCTGGCCCTACAATGGTCTGAGGGACAGTGAACTGACCCCCCGGTTTAAAAAGTTTGAGGACCCCTGCTCCACATGATCTTGCAGCATCCCTCTCCCCAGCATACTGTGGGCCAAGGAGACATGGCGGCAGTTGCAGTTTCCCCAGTGTAAGGGCCAGGAATCAGCTCTGTTCTGGCGGTAGATAGTAGGGGTTTCAGGCCCCCAACATGGACACTAGAGCACGTTCAGTTATAGGGCTCCCGGTCGATTCAGTCTCCAGATGCTCAGGTGGGGCAGGCAGGGGTGGGAAAGATGCCAGGCAGGTGAGGGGCAGGTGGAAAGGAAGGAGGCAGCTGTTGGGTGGGGGAAGTAGACGGAGCCAGTGTGTGTGGGGGGGTTGGATAGGGGGTGGGCACAGGGGTATGGCACAGGTTGTGAGTGAGCAAGGTGCTTGGTGATTAAGGCCAGAGGATTCCTGGAGGTTCTCTGGCTCCATTTTCTCTCTAATGCCAACATGGTGTGAGGATAGCTAGAGCTTGATGGCAATGACTAGGGCTGTGCATCTTCAGGGTGCAGCCAGTTTGGGGGCTCAGTCTGGACAAGCTGTGGCTTTAACAGTGAGTTAATTGAGGCACAGAGAGGTGACCCTTCCCCAAGGAACAGTAGACCTGGGCTGGGTAGTCTACATGTCCTCTGATGCCCCTGATGGTCTGGTGGTCCCTGGCCTGGGACCAGAGACCCTGGGAGGGACAACTTGTGTTTATTGCTGGGGATATTCACCCACTGCTCAAAAGGAGTCTTTTCCTTGGAGCTCATCACCAGAGCCAGGGCCAGCCATAGGCTGTCCTTGGGCATAGGTATGGCAGCTGTGTGCAAAGCAGCTGCTTGTTCTTGCACAGGATGGTGTGATGCTTGTGCAGACCACAGCCAGAGTGGCAGAGAGCCTTCATGACTTTCCTACAGCAAGGGCTTCAGGGGCAGGGTAATGAGCAAAAGAGGAGTTAAGACATGAAGTACAGGCAAGGGCAGGTTTATTGGAAGCAAAGCACACCAAGAAGCACACCCTGGGGTTAGGGTCTGTCCTTTTATGCTAATCCCTGTCATTAATGATACGCTGAGCTAGATAGAGGTGGAATATTTTTCTAGGAAAGGGGTGGAGAATTACTAGAACCGGGAACCCTCCTCTTTCTTCACTCTCCGGATGTCCTGTCATTTGTAAACTGTGACAGCACTAGTGGGAGTGATTTTTACTATGCTAATGAGGCTAATTTAGGGATTCTGTTGCCTCATATATGCATGCCTCAATTAAAGGTGTCCTCCCTTTACCTTAGGTAAAGGTGTTATGACTTAAGTAAAATAAATTGCAGGTTCCTATTTGGTCATATTCATCTTACCTGAGCACATGCACATGCTTGTGACTTCTGACTCCTGCCACACCTGCCTGCCAGATATGACCTTCTGTTTCTCCATAGCTGTCTTTGAGGGCAGCCCATGGTGTATGAGGTCCCGGGTCCCACCCACTGGGCATCAGCTGACCTAGGCAGGAGTCAGGGCTGAGCCCAAGCTTCTCAGATGCTGTCTGGCTGCCACCCCTGCGCTGGAGGAAGGTGTCAGAGCTCACACTGGGCACTCACTGCCTTCACTGCCTGTTGACTCCTGCTGGCCTGGGATGTGGGGTCTGGCAGGAGGGGAAGTGATGCAGCAAATAGGAACAGGTCTCTACACCCGCAGCTCTGCTGGAGTAGAGTGCATCTCAGAAAGTGGCAGCTTGGTGGGTTCAGGTCAGGTGCCACATATGGCCTGGTCCACTGTGGGCAGCTCAGTTTTCCCATGTGAAACCAGGGGGTCCTTTCTGTCCCCGCAAGCTGATGTAAGAATCCATGAAAGAGTGGGGCCCCAGAGAAGCAGACACCTGGGAGAGAAACCTCCCCTGTGCTCTGCTGGCTTTGCTTAGTCTGATTCTGGAGGAACACTTCTTGGTCATCACTAGCTAGGCCACACTATTTGAAAGTTTTGGCTCAGTGCCTGTGGCTCAAGCGACTAAGGCACCAGCCACATACACCTGAGCTGGCGGATTCGAATCTAGCCTGGGCCCGCCAAACAATGATGGCTGCAACCAAAAAATAGCTGGGCGTTGTGGCGGGCACCTGTAGTCTCAGATACTTGGGAGGCTGAGGCAGGAGACTCGCTTGAGCCCAGGAGTTGGAGGTTGCTGTGAGCTATGATGCTACAGCACTCTACCCAGGGCAACAGCTTGAGGCTCTGTTTAAAAAAAAAAAAAAGTTTCCCCACATCTCAGAGCCTGACAAACGTGTGGTGGAGCCCAGGTGCTCCTGCATGTGCCAACACCCTGCAAGAGGAGGGAGAGGAGATGGGAAGTGAGGGTGCATTGAGGCGGCCTGCCCTGCCAGCCCAGGTGCGTGTGGAAGTCGGGGCCTGTGTGTAGCTGGGCTTACTGCTCAGGCACAGATGTGGGAAAGGAGTTTGCAGCTATGGACATGGAATGTGCTTTGCACAACCAGGCTAAGTGCAGGGACATTGTTGCAGTCAGGTGCCCTGCCCTGGCTTTTCCTGCCATATATACCTGCTAACTCCCCTATGATCACAGGAAACCCCCTTTCTGGCCCTAGGACCCTGGTGCTCTGGGGCAGACTCTGCAGAGCACAGGCAATACCCTGAGAGGAACTTAACCAAGAGCTGTGCAGGACAGGCTGGTGCGTTTATTCCATTCCAGTGGAAACAGGAAATGTTTGCCTCTCTGTCCCACCTCCTCTTCTGGCTCTTGCCCTGCTCCAGAGCCCTGTACAAGTTCCATGTAATTGAACAGGGGGGCTCTTTCTGGGAGGTGCAGATTCTCTTTAGCAGTGGTCTATGGCTGAGCTGTCCTAGGTATTCACTCATGCCTGTAATCCTGGCACTCTAGGAGGCCAAGATGGGTGGATTGCTGGAGCTCACCAGTTGGAGACCAGTCTGAGCCAGAGCCAGAGCCAGAGCTCCTCTCTAAAAATAGCCAGCGTCTGTAGTCCCAGCTACTTGGGAGGCTGAGGCAAGAGAGTAGCTTAAGTCCAAGAATTTGAGGTTGCTGTGAGCTGTGATTACCACTGTACTCTACTGATGGTGAAAAAGTGAGACTCTCAAAAAAAAAAAAAAAAAGAAAGAAAGAAAGAAAAGAAAAATGAAAAATACGGAGCAGCTGGATTTGGAGAGCTCTGTGGTTTGAAGCCCCATCCTTTTCCCGGGACCCCTTCCTGTCGCAGCGGCCCATGGCTGGAGAGCTGAGGGGCTCTCTGTTCTGTGGGAGTCTTAGGATGTTTGGGGGTGGCGATCCAGAAGGGGCGAGACATGGTCCCACAGAGGCAGGAGAAGAGTTAAAATGCCACACACAAACCTCCAGCTCATCATTGGGGGTGATTATGTCAGGAAGCCCTTGTCACATTCCCAGGGTCAGAACACTCATCCAAACAGAGTGAAGGGCTGTGAGCAGCGTCAAGCCTCTGTCCCCTCACCTTCTGGGCGGCTGGGCAAAGGCTGGAAGGGGCTGTGTGTCTTGCAATTCTTTCTCAGGGTTGCTCTGGCTGAAGGCAGAGGCAGCAGGGTGAGGCCTGGGGCACGCGTGGCGGTCGCATTGGTTACAGGCTCGGAATTCCTGGGACTTGATGTATATGTAGCTAGCCGTAGAAAACTTAAAATCAGAAGGAAATGGAGGAGGAGGACAAAGGCTGGTGACTTCCCAGGGATCGCTCCAAGCTTGCAGGCCAGACGACCCCTTCTGCATCGCGCGGGGAGGGTGTCGGCGCCAGGTCGGTGCCCTCCGGGCCCTGAGAACTGTACTCTGTGCCCGTGGCTGAGTGCGTGCTGTCCTCGCGTAAGGCTGGCTCGGGGCTAGAGGCGCGCAGCTGCTGCTCCTTGAGCTCGGAGTAGGAGCGCGAGAAAGTGTGGAAAATGGAGGTGACAGGGAAAGCCATGAGCAGGATGCCGCTGAGGATGCTGCTGAGCGCCACCACCTGCCCGGGGAGGCTTCGCGGGACCATGTCGCCGTAGCCCACGGTGGTCATGGAAATGACGGCCCACCAGTAGCTGGCGGGCACGCTGGAGAAGTCGCGGCGCGCACCCAGTTCGCGCTCAGCCAGGTGAACGAGCGGCGCGAAGAGCGCCATGGCCACGCAGAGAAAGAGCAGCAGCAGACCGAGCTCGCGCGCGCAGCGACGCACGGTCAGGCCCAGTGAGCGCAGCCCCAGCGAGTGGCGCGCCAGGCGCATTACGTAGAGCACGCGCAGCGCGCGCAGCAGCCGCAACACTAGCCCCGCGCGCTCCAACAGCTTGGTGCCCCCTGGGCCGCCAGCCGCCAGGCCCACGAGGAGCGACACGTAGAAGGGCAGGATAGCCACGACGTCGATAATGTTGAGTGGTGTCCGCAGGAAGGCGCACTTGCTCTCGGCCTGCAGGGACCGCAGCAGGAACTCAAAGGAGAACCAGGCCACGCACACCGTCTCCAGAACGAAGAGGCTGCGGCACTTGTGGGAGCACTCGCCCTGGAGGGAGAGGGGATGCGGGGTTGGGGTGCCAGGAGGGGGGGGGCGGGGGATGGGACGGGGCGGGCGCTCCTCCTCCCCAGGACTGGGAGAAGTCGTAGGAGACTGGCCTTTCTCCCACCCCCCCACTCTGAGAAGTGTACAAATGCCGGAAAAGGACCAATTCCTGTTGAAAAAAAATTAATTGGAGGTCCACCTATGCCATGAGTGGTGATGAGTTTGGCCAACCCGGGAAACTGATGAAAATCACTAAAAAACCCTAAAGCCTCTGGAATTGGACTTCTGAGCAGACAGCAGATGAAGAAACATCTATTCAAGAAAATCTGAAAATTCAGTAAGAAAGGTTAGTCTGTAGTATTTGAGCCCAGCTCCCTACTCAGCGCAGATGCCACTTGAGATGGGCTGCAGCCAAGAAGACTCTCTCCCTCAGCTCCTGGAGGGCCCAGGGAGAGTCCAGTGGAGGGATGGGGCCCTTCAACCCAGTCCCCACTCATGAAGCAGAGGTGGGTCCTGCCACCCAGTGAGATATTGGTACACCAATAGGGCAAGGGCTGGCTTCCCTTGCCTGGGCACACAAGGCGATGATGATTCTGGGCCGGGAGAGGCAAGGCATTGGGATCATAGGATGCTGTTTCCATCAAGTATTCAGCTCCTAAACTGGACACTCACATGCTCTGGCCACCACATAACATGGTGGAAGCCAGTCTGGCAGCCCCTCAACAGACTTAACAGAGCCAATGTCTGACCCAGCAGGTCCCCTCCTGGGTCCTGCCCCAAGGAAAGGAAAACAGTGTAGGCATTTCATAGCAGAGGCTTCCATGGCAACCTCCAAGCCCAGGTGTCCTTCAGTGGAGGAGCAGATAAACAAGTGTGGCCCACACAGTGGCATGTCATGGTCCTGAAGAGGATCAAGCAGGGACAAGCCACATCACAAACCCTGAAGACTCCTGATGCAAAAGAGGCCAACCTGGAGTACCATGCACGTATCTATCATAGACAGTGTGAGGTCAGCAGAGGCAGAAGCAAGTCAGCAGCTGCCGGGGAGGTGTGGGCTGCCTGGAGCACAGGCTCCCTTGGGGAGAAGACAATATGCTAAATGGACAGTGGTGAATTGTACATTTTAAGTGTGTAAACTGTATGGTATTGAATCATATCTCAATAAAACTATTAAATTCTTAAATCTCTGGGCAGCTTCTCCAGTGTATGGCTGGAATGAGTGTGTGGGGGTGTCACCCAAGGCCCTGTGGGGGTGGGAATCTGGCAGGAAGGGAGGCACAGCAGCCTGGCTAGGGTGGGTTAACCAAGTGGACCCACTGATTGGGCAGAACCAGCTCCTGGTTGGCTGTGCAGGAGCTGAGGGGAATCCGTAATGACAGAGGGGAGGGCACAGCCAAGCTCCCAATTCCCCAGAGCCCTGGGCCCACCTCACACCATGGAGGACCCAGGGCAGGTGTCCAGCCCGTGCACTCCCCAAGCGAGGCCTGACCTGCATAGGTTGGGTCCCTGTTGAGCATCAGAAGACAGAGACCCCATGTCTGGGGTTGGGGGCTCCTTGGCAGAAGTGGACAAAACCTGGAGACAGCACCATGACATCCTGCCACCCAGTGAGATGTCACCTCCAGGATGGTCTGATGTTTCAGACAACAGGTCCAGCTCAGTGACCAGTTTTTTTCAATCCACAAACTCCTGTCATGAGCTGTAGATACATGGCAGTGCAGAGGTCAGTGGTCCCTATGGGGCCACCCTAGGCCTGTCTGTGCCCTGGGCCAGGCACTCATAGCCAGCAGCTCCTAAGCCTGTCTATCCAGAGAGCTGGCTGCTCCCCCACAAGTGTATCTGTCAGCCCACTAGCATTGCATTCATGAGGCACGGACCCCAATCCTGGACCATTCATTACTGGCCACGTGTTGCTGCCCAGGATCTGGGCTAGGCATTGGGCAGACCACCCAGCACCTTTCAGGATGTGGGAGCCTGGGGAGCCAGTGTTGGAAGCCCTTGCACCCCTCTGGGGTGTGCCCCTAAGTGGGACCCCCTGAAGTCCCTCATTTCTCCTACCCGCAGAGACCATAGAGCCGCACATAAGCAGGGGCTTCGGGCTGGTGGGGCACAGCCCGGTGTAGTTGCTTTGGGAGTTGAACATGGAATAAGAAGGGGCTGCCTTAGCCCAGGGCCTCAGAGATACCCTCACAGCTATACCCCCTGGCTCTTAGTGAGCCCAGCCTTGAGTTTAGCTCTCATGTGCCCCCATGTCCTCACCCACATCCAGGCTCCTTGGGCCCTCGTTGGGCCACTCAGCTTCTTCCACCCTGACCTGTGGCCACAGGGTCTTACCAGCAAGGCTGCCTGAGCCAGGGCCAACTTTGTCCTCCCTAACCCAGAAGGGGCCCCTGCAGCACCCTACCTGCCCTCTCTCTATGGTGGTAGGTGATAGTCTTTGTACCAATAAGCCCACCCACTCCTGTGGGCCCAGCTCTGGCCCTGCCTCTGCATCTGAGCCTCTGCCCTCTCTATGGCAACCTGGACAGGGCTCCCCTTCTCCAGTGGGAGTAGACAGGATAGACGAGGTTTCTTTTGTAATGGAGGTTGCCCGTTCAACAGCAGCTGCCCTGGCTCTGTGTTGTGCCCCCAGGAGGCTCAGGGGACACCTGGTACAGCCACACTCCCCCACTCTGTCCTCAGTTCAGAGCATCACAAATGCAGGGCTATGAGCCTGCCATGGTGCTGATGAGCCATTAACCACAAGCCATTGCTCTGGGCAGAGTAAACCCTGGTGCAAGGTGGCTAAGCTGGGTGGACCTGGGAGGGTTCCTCACTGGACTCTGGCCTGGCCCACAGGTGACCGTAGAAGAGCTGCTGAATGCTACAAAGGTGAAACCCTTCAGAAAAAACTTATCTTTGTTAATTTATTTATCAGCGCCTTTGTGTACAGATTATGTCTTTAGCGCCGAGTATCTGAAAAAAATATTTATTAACTCATTTCACTATGAATTTATAACAGTTTGATTTCAAACTGAATTGAGATTTATTCCTGTCAGTTATCCATAGAAAGGGCTCTTGTATTTATTTATTTATTTTTTTGAGACAGAGCCTCAAAGCGTTGCCCTGGGTAGAGTGCTGTGGCATTACAGCTCACAGCAACCTCCAGCTCCTGGGCTCAAGCTGATTCTCCTGCCTCCACCTCCCAAGTAGCTGGGATTACAGGCACCTGCCACAACACCTGGCTATTTTTTTTGGTTGCAGCCATCATTGTTGTTTGGCAGGCCCGGGCTGGATTTGAACCCGCCAGCTCAGGTGTATGTGGCTGGCACCTTAGCTGCTCGAGCCATAGATGCCGAGCCAGGCTCTTGTATTTAAATGCAGGTAGAAAAACAGGAGAGGAATATTTAATTCCTTAAGAGAACACATTGTTTAGAAACCACACAACAGTCCTTTTCCCAGAAACAACACACTCATTTCAGATCATCTGTGAACCTTCCTGCCAGGACTCTGCCAGTTAGCCTGTGTGGCCCTGTGTAAAGAAACAAATACCATTTCTCTATGTACCCTGCCCTCGGCTTGCTAAAATGAGCCTGCTTGTGGTTTCTGCTGAGTGCAACATTCTGCACCAAGCACCAGAAATGGAGGCTGCTGTGCACACCGAGGCTAATCTTCAAGCCCCTTGGCCATTTGTTCGCAGGCAGCAAATGGCACTGGCTCCCCTTGTCCTGATTCTTCTCTCCTATTAGCTTTCTGAAGCTTTGAGGGAGGCTGTGTGTGTGTCTATGCATGTTTAACTAAGCCAGCTTTTGGGCTGCAGCATCTAAGTTGGTTTGAATTGTCTAGACTATCACTACTAGCCGCTATTGGTGATATTTAGCAAAGCTTTCTTACCAAACTTTCTTTTGCAATTTTTGCCTATGAGGACTGAACTCTGACCTTTTGCCCAAATTCCTTTATAAGAGGCCTGGTGAGTCATGCCTACAAATGATAAAATCTCACTAAACAAGTTTTATTAACCTGCTATAATGTGGCTGATTTGCCAGCCTGACTTGGGAATAGCATCACAGGACAGAGAAACCTGGCTTTAACTCGATGCCTTAAAACTCGAGCATTCCTTCCTACGGGCCCACATCTTTAGACAAAACTTAAAAATTGCCAACTGAAGAATCCTAAAACCGATCTACCACCTGTAAACCCTTACTTTGAGATTTCCCATCTTTGGGGGCTGAACCAGTGTCCAACTTCCATGTATTGGTTTGTGGTAAATTTTATCAAGACTCTTGAGGGCATGTATGCCTGGACCATGGTCACATATATTCAGCTTTTTACATTTCTCTACAGACTTTGGGTTTTCCTTAGACATCTATAATAAAGACAGCTTCAGAGAACGTCCTGAACACACCATGCCAATTTCTCTCTGGGCAAAGGGTCTGCACCTTTAACATGGGTGCCTCCATTTTCACTCCCCTGTTGAGAACTCATGACAGGGCAGACACCAGTGTGGTCATCTGAGCCTCTGCTCATGGGCTGAGTGGTTTGTGCTGTTCACGTGAGTGCTTCTTTCATGACTATCCTCCCCGCACTCTTGGACAGTGACAACCCTCTCTGTTGACTTCTGGTTCATGCTATCACCGCCTTTCCCACTTTGATGCTTTATTACCTGATTAATTTGTTGAAATTTTCTATATATTAAGGATGTTAATCCTTTGTCATATAGATTGCAATTTTATGCTTAGATTACAGTTCTTCAACTATTTAAATTTGGGGAGGGATTTCATTAGTTTTTTACTTTAATATTGTCAACTATTTCTTTTCCTTTATCGTTTCTGGCTTTCTTACCAAATCTAGAGAGGTTTCTCCCATACCCAGCTACACTTCCTTTTATTAACTGTAGGGTTTAGTTTTTTCAGTAGTCCAATATAGCTGGACTTATTTACACAGTGCCCAGCATCACCCGTGGAGGTGGCCACTCTTCCTCACTGGTGTGCCATCACCGCTCGCAACATGCCCTCACTTGGTCC